TTTTTTCAATTTTGTCCTCCTCTAATGAGGAGTGAGAGAATCTGACCATCAACAAAACAACAGCTGTACTAGGTACTTGCTTTGAAAAGTCTCGTGATCGCTGCTTAAGCGCATCTTGGCAGTGTCAGGTAGAAGAATTACACCGTAGCCCTAACCCCACCTACCAAATCATGCGCTAAGTCCTGTGAAGGAGCTTCAAAACTACCAGTTCCATTGAGTGGGTGTCATTGGTAGAGTTTTGAAGCTCTTCTCCAGGACTTAGCCCTCGAATTGGAGGGTGGTGGAGTCGATACCTGAAACTACCAAAAGATGACAGGGGTCCATTCTGCCTGTCCACGCCTTTGAGATTCTTCCATGGCACAGAAGGGCCACATCGACCAATAACATCTGTGAGATTTCTTAGCTGGAGACTTGTGAAAACTCGTTGTAAAAAATATTATGTAGAAGCTTCACCATCATTTTACATAACCTTGAGAGTAATTCGAATTAATTTGATTTTTTCAGAGTGAGAGGAGTAAAAGGCATTTCAAGATTCATCCCCATATTCCCAGAAGGATAAAACCTGGATAAACAAAGACTTGCAGTATATGAAATGTAGAAAACTAGCTTTAGAGAAAAATGGTCACACCTCAGAACCCCGCTTACAAGGAAAGGCATCAAAAACGTGCATTATAAAATCAGTAAGCTCATGATACCTACAGATTGAGAAGCTTACATCGCAGTAAGTGATTTAATCTTCAAAAAAGAGCTTACATACCCTTTATCCGGATGGAGATTCACGATCACAGCCGTCCGACTATTCCCTCCTAGCGAATCGCGCAGAATATGGGTTAGTTTGGAATCCCTATATGGTACGTGAGTGTCGCCATGGTTAGCTTTAGCAAGTGTACGAATCACTCTGCCAAGGTGTGTCAGGGACTGAAATAAAAAGTATGATTGAAGGTAAATCAGATATCAACACAATACCAAGTTGATTTTGGTCGCTTCTCTAAACCGCGCGCCGACAGTCTTTGCTTGGCTCTGTCGCTCTGAACCGGCTAGGTCCACCAGATTCAAAATTGCTGTTCTTTTGTTTACGATGGTGTTGACTAGTTCTTCAGTTTTGATCTGTGGAAGGAAGATTTAGTGACTGTTTGTGGGAAACTAGTGAGAAAACTTACTTCTACGATGAAGATGGCGTGCGACCGGGAGGATTCTCGATTCATAGCCGTTTCTGCAGTTCGTCGTGCATCCCACCCGACTTCCAGGAGCTGTAAATTCTAAATTCGACTGGGAAGTCATAAACCTTTGACATACCCTCATCATATCAATGCTAGAATGTACTGAATGCTCGGAGACGCCAAGGATTTGCACAACCTGCAAAGTGGTTTTGCAAGCCATAGAAATCGTAGTATGCGAGTAATTTACCGTCGAATCACTGCGGATTGCCAGTTTTTGCTGCGAATTCTC